AATTTTTTCTTCAGTTCTTTCAGTTTGAGAAATGCTAAGCGTGTTCCTCCTTTTTGGTTTTCAGACTTGTCTGTCGGTTTGGCCAACTGTGCAGTGAAAGCTCATCTTAAGAGTACAATTTCACGTTTATAGGCAATTTTCTATTTACTAAGTTCATGTAACCCCAAAGAGGTATAAGAGAAATACTCCATTTTTGGAATAAGGAATTTATGATACAATATTTTCATATTATCTTAGTATTCATAATTACACATAAAATTCCCTGTTACTCAGTATATATTCTTGTTATTCAAGATATTCAGTATTCACAGTCTGGCCTTTGGAGGCTGGCTTATAGTAATATTCTAGCAAAGCCTTAGACTAGAAAGTTCCAGGCAGCAAGTACTTTTTCATCACAGTCTTAGCTAGTTGACTCTTGAATCCTCCCATGTCTTAAAGAGAAAGCAACAAGTCTTTCGTAAACCACTCCCAGGAGAGTGATGGCAAGTAACACTATTCCACACACAAGACTGAATGCCCATCGTGGTCCCCAGTAACTATATACTTGGCTGATGAACATGGGTCCAAGAATCCGAGCTCCACTTCCAGAAGCTGTTAACCAGCCCATGTACGCCCCCTGTTGAAGGAAGAAAGGGAGGTAAGCAGATGGGTATTCAGGGTTATTGAAAAAGATGATGCTGTTATTACCAAACAATGACAAATTTACAGGAATCATTTTCTCCATATTTTACTCAGCCAGAGGTCCTTCTTTTCACTGTTTAAAAGAGAATGAGCATCTCTTTGGATAGGCATAGAAAAATATCTTGAAGGGTACAAGTGAAGTTAGTGATTAACTTTGGTGTGATGAGCCTAAGAGAAGCCTTTCTTTCACTTTGGTGTAATAAGCCTAAGAGGAGCCTTTATTTAATACATACATTTCTAAATTATTTAAATTTTGTTAAAACCATCATATAATGCTTTTGTAATTAATTTTATTGTCTTTTTAATTTTTAAAGATTATAATCTTTTAGATTAAAAACAAAACCAAAATTATTACCAAATATTTTACCTATTATTTATCCTTTCAAAACACAAGAACTTAAAAAAAATTTTTCTTTGCCTTATTTCAATAGAGAAACACTAATTCTCATCCTGAAAAAGGCTATGAGTTTAATTGTTAAAGAGGAAGATAATATTTTCATGTAATGGACATTTCAATAACTGCTACTATAAAAGAGAAGTCATGGGAAAATATAAACAGAACATTGTTATTTTTTTTTCTTAATTAGATTATAAAATAGTATCCTTGATATAATCCTATTTTTGTATTAAAAACATACCTAACTCAGATAGGCACAGATAAAACTAGAACTGGAAGTATAATAGTAGTAGTAGTCATCTCTGATTTTTTTCTTTCTTTTTTTGCTTCTGTATTTTTCCTAATCTTTATATAATAAATAGAAAATTATTTAAAAATACACATAGCTGCTCTATACTTTTTAGGAATGTTGTATTTTCTTCTTTTAGTAATTACCCCTAGGCCAGATGACATTTAACTAAATGAAATGAAAATTTAGCTATTAGCGTGGTTCCCTAAAGAATGAGTTTGAGAAATTTATTTTTCAGGTATTTTTTCTACGAAAATTATTTTGAGCTCATAATCTCTGAGTTCAAGGTATCTTTGAGCTCTAACTTAAAATACTATTTGTTAAATTTTAGCATATTATATAAATCCTATAAATGCTTTATAAAAGTTGTGGATGTTTTAATATTTAAAATGCTAAATATACAATAAAAAGCCCAATGTTAACCTGTTGAAAAAGTAGAAACTGGTAGCAAAACATGTGAGTGCTTACAAACATATTTCACATCATTACAGTGTCAGACTGACTGACTTACCTGAGGTTTTGGTCCTAGAATTTTTGAATATAATGTATAGGACATAACATTGCAGGCTGGATAGCCTATTCCAATTAGGATGGCAGATGTGAGGAACTGGGCCAGATGGATCACAGGGGTGTACAAGCACCAAGTTTGTTCAACTGGGCAGCCAACTGGTCCTCCACCATAGTGATCTTCTTTTGAAAATATCCAGAAAGTAGTAATAATTTTCCCAAACGTGGCATTAGGGATTGAATTATTATGTAAATCTGTAAAAACAAATTAGTACAGTATATTATTTATCAATTTTTGATGAATAACAGGTTAACATTATAGAATTATATATGGCTATACCTTCCCAATGTATTTTGGGGAACTGATTTCCCCAAGGTAACAAGATAAAGAAGCCAACCCATACAACGATGAGTCCTCCCAGTAGAATAGCACGCTCGCCAATCCTGTTAAAGAACAGAAACTGTAATTTAAAAATGAAATATAGCAAAATCTATTACTTTTATAATTTTAAACTACAAATAAAATAAGGTCTTCATACTTTTGGTAATATATCAATTAATATGAATGTTTAATAGTTTCCCATTAAAGACAACCAGAAATCCTCTGAAAAATAGCTAATTTTAAGTTTGGGACAGAAAATGTGTAAGATGAACCTGCACATCTTGCCACATCAGACACCAAAGAAGCTATCAGTGACAACTAGCTCATGACAAAGGACCCAGAAGCAAATTCCAAGAGGCTGTCAAAAAATGCAACAATGTGACACCAAAAAAGAATAACAACTGCAATAGACTGAAATAACATGAAAATGTTACTATCTATAAATTCATACTATAGTAAAATAAAATGCTGGGAAACCGACTTAATATTTTAAAAACTAGTGAGTGAAAAAATTATCAAACATTCCTCATGCCTTTTCTATACAAACAGGATAACCAAATACTTTGAGGGGAAAGTTTTATTTACAGAAAGCAGTGCAGCAAATAAATAAAGGGATGATAGAATACTTGCATTTTGCACCCTGTAATGAATTAATGGATCTAAGGAATGATCAATAGCCACTTACATCACAAACCAAAGCAAAAACCAAACTCACTGCCCTGGAGTCAAATCTAACTCATAGCGACCCCTCCTTGGGTTTCCGAGGCAGTATCACTACGGAAGTAGGATTGCCCAACCTTCCTTCCAAGGAGTGGCTGGTGGGTTTGAACCGCCAGCCGTCTGGTTAGCAGGCAAGTGTCTTAGCCACTATGCTACCAGAGCTCAGCACCACCTATATTCTTGCCAAAACTTTTAAAAATGGTTGAACCCATATCTCATCAAGCTTTTAGATCTAAGTACCAATTTTCAAGAAATAAGAAATATAGTGAACAGAGGGAAATATTTTTTTAAAAATGCTTCCAGAACATAATCAGTAAGATTCAAAATGTAGGAGAATGTAGAATGCAAACACTGCATCCCACTTTCTTCCATTTGTAAGGAGACAGGAGAGAAATTTACAGATTAAAAGGGTCTTAACTTAAAATCTTGAGTTAAGCAAGCAAACTCCACTGTCCACTGAGACAGTGGAGAAAACTTGAATACTGCCTGGATATATACTGGTATTCAGAAATCACTGTTAAATTTTTCAGGTGTGATAATCTTATCATCCTTACTTTTAGAGATACAAACTGAAATATTTATGGAGAACATGAAATAACATCTGGGATTGGCTTCAAAATAATCCAGGTACAGGAGAAAGAGTGTAGATAGGTGGAAGGGTAGATGGAACAAGACTGTCCCTGGGTTTATAATTGTTGAAGCTAGGTAATGGACATTAGAGGCTCAGTACATGATGCTCTCTACACCTTTGTATATATTAGAAATTTTCCTTAATAAAAGAAAACCAAAGACCAACCATCGTCATCAAAATACCTACAGGCTCTCTCATTCCGCTCTAGCCAAAAGGGCCTTCCCGCTCTTCCTTAAATATAAAATCTTAATCTCAAAGGCCTCTGCAATACCCTCCCCTCAGGGAATATGGAGAGTTCCAGGCCATTACATGGCTGTTTTCTGACTCACTGAGTTCTTTCCTCTGACATTCCCTCCTTAACCAGTCTATCAAACATAACACTCCCCCATCCCACCCACCATGGGCTTGTTACTTTTTATTCTGTTCCAGTGCTCTATCCTTCTTCATAACATCGCATATGGATTATTATTATTAGGCTTTTCCACCCCTAACAAGAGTATAATCTCTTTGAAGGTAAGGAATTACAGAGTCTATAAGAATGTTTATCAGCAGCTATGATACTCAATTTATGTAGAAAGATGTCATGTATTTACTATTATTTAACTTTGAATATCTATCTATTTCTATAGTGGCCCCTCTGCTTGGTTCCATAAGAGTAGGAATTTCTGTAGTACTCCCTATAGCACTTAACCATATACATTAACTCAATATTTATTGATTGATAGAATTTTATTAAACTATTTTAACAATAATTACATCTTAGAACTGTCTAAATTCATCAACTAATGTCCCACCACAAATTATATGACTGAACTTAAGTTTATGCATGCATTCCTCACAAAGTATGTTCCTTACAGTTGTACTTTTATAAAATGTTTCTTTTAAAAGTGTTCATAGTCAAATAATTACTAGAAATACTACATATACATACTATATTACCATCATGACAAATACAGTAGTATGTATATTGAAGACTTAAAAGTTCTAGAGATATAAATTCAGCCATTTTAACCAGAATTTCCTAATTGAATCAACCATTGAATCTTCTTGTTATATAATATCTGTTATCATATAGCAGTACAAAGTTTGTGAAATAAAACATTAATACATTCAGTAAAATGTGATATATAAAAGATACATTGTTGTTGTTGTTAGGTGCCATAGATTTGGCCCCAACTCATACAGAACCAATGTACAACAGAATGAAACACTGCCCAGTCGTGTGCCAGCCTCACAATCCTTGCTATACCTGAGCCCGTCACTGCAACCACAGTGTCAATCCATGTTGTTGAGGATTTTCCCTTTCCACTGACCCTGTACTTTACCGAGCACGATATCCTTCTCTAGGGAATGGTCCCTTCTAAGAACATGACCAAAGTAGGTGAGACAAAATCTGGCCATTCTTCCAGACAGATTCATTGATTCTACTGGCAGTCCATGGTATTTTCAGTATTCTTCACCAATACCACAATTCAAAAGTATCAACTTTTCTTCGGTCTTCCTTATTCATTGTCCATTAGGAGACAATTATTTCCTTTGTATTTTTGCTTTACCAAAGAACATTATAGAATATCTTTAAATATCATTTAAATAGCATGATATGTAAATATATTTTAAAGATGCTTGTAAACTTTCAGGGAGCTCTGGTGGCATAGTCCCTAATAGTATATGACTACTAGCCAGAAGGCTGGTGGTTCAAATCCATCAGCCACTCCTCGGAAAGAAGGTTGGGCAATTTACTTCCTTAGAGATAGATACCACCTCGGAAACCCAAGGAGGGGTAGCTATGAGTGAAATCGACTTGACAGCAGTGACTTTGGTTTTTCATTTGGTAAACTTTCAAGGTACCACTTTCAGTTGGTAAACTACAACTGATTTATAAGGAGAAAAAAGTTTTAAATTATTAACATATTCATTAACATTGTTAACTTTCGTTCACATTTCACTTTTTAAAAAACAGGCTTAAAAGAATAAAAGTAAGGCAAAAATACATGACTTACTTTTTGGAAAGTAATTTAATCCCCATGAAAATAAGAACTGCTTCAATTCCAAGAGCAGCAAGTATTATTCCATCATATAAAACAGCTTGTTCTCTTGTCCAGGCATACATATCCATTGTTAATGGAGTAACGATGCTAAGGAAAACAAAGAAATGATGTTATTCTTATTTTTGTTTAGATCACAGTCATTTCTACTTAAAATTGAAATACAAGCTTTATGTTTCCTACAATTTCAAGAATTTGTATCCCTTTTAACAATGACATTAGGCCTATATAAGCAAAACTTTGAACACATTTTAAGCACATTTTGTTGTTACCAAGCTCCTAAACTTGCTTATTCATGTTTCCATTTTTCTTATTTATTTAAATTATATATTCACATTACAGAAAGTTTCAAAAGGAAAAAGAAAATAAATCAATCACAACTCCTAGCATTCTAACATAGCTAAATAATTATGGTTATATTTTGGTCTCTTTTCAATGAAATGATGTTACTATCGTTACATTATTAGAAAATTCTTTGTTTGTTTTCTCTTCCTCATTCTTTTCCATCCCTACTTTTGAATATGTATAATGTTCTTCCTACCTCTGACTGTCTGTCTTCCTTTAAATGGCTATCTATCCCATTCCTTGTCCAAGCCTCTTCTTCTATTTTCTATCTCATTCTATTAAGTAGATACAAAAAAGAACTGAAATGTATTTAAAATATTTGTTCTCTTAAAAAAAAAAAAACTGCCATTTTAAATTTTAAAATCAGATGTGCTGAAATGTTCATATATTTCTATAATTTTAAAAATAAAGATTCATGCAAAGCTACATGTACTGACAATAAATATCACAATGTATTGATAATAAACCAGTTTGTCAAATGATAATATGACATATTTATGTGAGTTTTGTGTGTATATATAGATATACATACGTATGAACACATGTTCATATTATTGTATAGAAATAATGTTAAAAAAACACACAGTGAACTATTAGAAATGGTTACCTCTAGGAAAAGGAGTGGATGTAGAAATAAAGTTGTATTGTTTGGAATTTTTACAACAAGAATATACTATTTGTATAATTTAATGGAAAGTATTTAAAAAACAAATGAGTCATAAGATAAGTAAAAGTCAATAAAGCAGAGATTTTATAATATATTTCACTAGTGTTTTTTCAGAATCAGAACTTAAATAGAGTGAAAATTGCTGGACTAAGCACTGTATATATGCGTGTATATGTGTATATATATATTTATATATACATATATTTATAAAAGCTGGGCATTATATAGTTTACAGTTAATTAAACTATGGTATTAATTGAAGTTTAAAACTGTATTTATCATAAAACTCAAATAAAAGGGGAAGAGACTAGTAAAAGAGATTCCTTATGAGGAAGTAAGGTAAGTCAGTAGGTTTATGTCTACAGAATTGACTACATTCAAGTTAAAACCCACAACATTTATGTTATTTTACATCATGACCAGAAAAATATGCCTTGCATAATAAGGTTTTTAGTGACATCTACAGCATGAATCATACTGCTTAACACATAATTTGATTTAGATAAAAACAGAATAAAACTTACGTTTCAAAAAGGGCAAAGATAAATAGAACCACAAAAAATAGAACATTAGTGGCCACAACAGCAACTTGATCAATGTTTCCTTGGGGGATCTGAGCATCATCTGTACTTGCTATAAGTAAACAGAAGAAAAATTAAATTACTCATACATCTAATGTGTCTTATGACACTATAATAATATAGAAATTACATTTAGAAAATTTTATGAATTAATATTTAAAATAGTTTGTAGGTTTCAAAGCATTTCAACAAAAGGTTTAGATGACAAAAATAATTTTTAAATGGCTTTAAAAAGTAAGTTGAATTTTCATGACAGAAGATATATTTCAATTCCATTAACTACAAGATACACTCAGTTTTCTCCCCCCTTTCTGTTTTTTGTCTCTCAATCCTAAATAAGAATGTATTTTATAGAATTCTATAATAAAGAGATCTCAAACTAATACATTTGCTTAAAGTTTCAGGTGCAGATTTTTTTCTACTTTACCTCACTCTTAAATTTACAAGAATTTCATGAAGACCTCAGCTAGTTTATTAATAGGTTCTCAGTTCTATATTCATTTCAATTGATATTTTGAATTTCAATTTGATATTCTGAATTTCAATGCTATATAAAATTAGTATTAGTAAAAATACTTACGTTATCATGTATATTTTTACAAAGAAGTAGCCAGGATTTGATGGTGGTTTCATACAAAGTAAGTACATTGACTTGTCATCTTGAACAACGTAGGTAAGCTATACATTCAATATAAGCTATTCCTGATACAACTGAGAAGAATGTAAGGCCATATACATACATCCACTCATATACATTTATTGTGCTATTTTGTAATTTAACTACTTTTTCAGGTAAACCAGGTAATAATAAAAGATTGTGTTGATTTATGCTATTTTTAAATGTGTGAGTGTTGGGGGGGCATTATGTTGAGAATAATAGAGAACTGTTGTTGTTGTTGTTGTTATGTGCCGTCGAGTCGGCCCCGACTCATAGCGACCCCTCCTTGGGTTTCCGAGGCAGTATCACTACGGAAGTAGGATTGCCCAACCTTCCTTCCGAGGAGTGGCTGGTGGGTTTGAACCGCCAGCCGTCTGGTTAGCAGGCAAGTGTCTTAGCCACTATGCTAATAGAGAACTAGCAAATTTAAAGAGCTCTGCAAGGAAAAGTTTATCTATGGAAGGAAATTTTCTTTGTTGGGTATCAGGGGTGGGAGGGGAAGGTAGGGAACACTAGTAGATAGGTAAGACAAGTATTAATTTTGGTGAAGAAAAGGGCAATGTGCCAAATGTCAGTGATCAACACGGTGGCACTGAGGAAGAGGAAGAAATAGAGAGGTACATGGGAGTTACAGACAACAAAGATGAACCCTTTTGTACATACAGTACTATGTTGTCAGTGAAGGCAAACATGGATATATGGATGGAGAGATGGGTGGAGAGGCTGAACTATTAGCTATGTCTATGCAAGGGGGAATGTGACCACATATAGGGTTGGCAAACAACGTTTCTACAAGTGTATTGGTATGACCTGTAAGAATTCCCAGGTATACAGTAGAACTGGTAAGGGACAAGGTTGTAGTCACTTCTTGGCCACAGCCAACTACCCAGAGGGAGCGAGTAGTTGGACCTGTGGGCTTGGGACCATAGTCACACAGGGGACATCAAGCTCAATTAGCATAACATACTACACAAAAACTGTTCCACTTCCTACTTTGGTGAGTAGCAACTGGGATCTTAAAAGCTTGCAAGTGGCCATTTAGATGCAATGATAGGTCTCTCCTCATCCAGAGCAAAGAAGAATGAAGAAAAGCAAAGATGCATGGAAACAATTAGTCCAAGTGACGGGTACACCATGCGATCTTCAGCCTACACGACTATGAGACTCGAAGAACTAGATGGTGCCCAGCTACCATTGTCAACCACTCAGAGGGGGATCTATGTAGGAGATGCGGGATAGACTGGGAGAACAATGTGGAACAAATCTCAAAATTGGAAAAAAAAAGGGGGGGGGACCAGGTTTGCTGGTCTCATAGAGCCTGACAGAACCACTGAGACACTGGCCCCTTGCTGCCCCTTTTAGTCTGGAATTGAACCCACTCCTGGGGCTTCCAGCCAAACAAGACAGGCATATGAGCTGGACATTGACATTAAGTAGATATACTCCTTGGAGAGATCAATCATGGGAAAACAGAAGGGCTGTGTATGCACAGGGACACAGCTAGGGGGGGGGTAAGAGTGCAGGGGAGGGAAGGACACAAGGAAGAGGTAACTATGGGGAGGAAGTGGGAGGGAAGCTGCTGCATTGTGAGAAACTGCAGTCAATGTCATGAGACAAAATGTATGTGAGCTGCTATATGGAAAGTGAATTTGTTCTGTAAATTTTTACCCAAATCACAATTTAAAAAAAAAAAAGGAGCTCTGGTGGTACAGTGGGTAAGGCATTTGGCTACTAACCATGCCAGTGGTTCAAACCCAGCAGCCAGCAGCTGATCCTCAGGAAGAAGATGAGACAATCTACTTTCATAAAGATTTACAGCCTTGGAAATCCTACAGGGGTCGCTATGAGTCAAATTTTATTCAATGGCAGTGGGTTTGGTTTTGTGGTTTACACACAAATTTAAATATTCATAGACTACTGTACTTTTAAAAACAATTATAGTAAAATATATGTTGTTGTCATGTGCCATTGAGTCAGATCCGACTCATACCAACCCCTCCTTGGGTTTCCAAGGCAGTTATCACTATGGAAGTAGATTACCCAATCTTCCTTCCGAGGAGTAGCTGGTGGGTTCAAACCAGCCTTCTGGTTAGCAGTCCAGTGCCTTCCGGTTAGCAGTCAAGTGCCTTAGGCACTACCCTACCAGAGCTACTGGTAAAATATATATAGCATAAAATTTGACATTTTAAGGCATTAATTACATTCACAATGTCATATAACCATCACCATCATCTATTTTGAAAACCCCTTCATCACTCCAAACTGAAACAGAAACCTTGTTTCAAGCAGTAACTCCCTTCTCCTTGTACCCATAACCTCAAACCCACATTCTCTCTCTGAATTTGTCTATTCTAGGTAACTCATGTATGTGAATCATTATTTGTCCCTTTGTGTCTGCCATCTTTCATTGTTGTTGTTATGTGCTGTCGAGTCAGACCTGACTCATAGCGACCCCTCCTTGAGTTTCCAAGGCAGTATCACTACAAAAATAGATTGCCCGACCTTCCTTCCAAGGAGTGGCTGGTGGGTTTGAACCACCATCCTTCTCATCTTTCATTAGCATAATGTTTTTAAGATTCATCCCTGTTGTATGTAGTTTGCATCAGAATTTCATTCTTTTCCAGGGCTGAAAAATATTCCATTATATGTATGTACCACATTTTGTTTATCTCTTCATCTGTTGATAGACACTTGAGCTGTTTCCACCTTTTGGCTATTGTGTGACTAATGCTGCTACGAACACTGGTTTACAAGTATCTGAGTCCTCATTTACAAGCCTTTTGGGTATATACCTAGGGATGGAGTTGCTGAGTAATATGGTAGTTCTACATTTAACTTTTTGAGGAATTGCCAAAGTAGTGCACTTCAACTGCACTCAACAAACAAATTCTTATTTAAGCACACATAACATTATAGTATACGTCACTGGCAAAAATATAAAAGGTAAAAATGATGGTCACTGTCCTCAAACAATATACTCTAATTGTACTTAGGCTGCCCTTTTGTGATTCCATTTGTTTTCTGTGATTTTGGGGGAATTTTAATATCTAGTTGCTTAATTTTGACTATATAACAACTCTACTATTATGATCAATGTTCCATCATTCAGACTGCTCTTATTTTTTTTCCCATCAAATTATTTTATTTAAATATTTTTCTCTTATGTTTTTCATTATTTATCCACCTATTTTTAATTTTATTTCATTTCAGACTGCTCTTATACTTATCAAATACTTATAAACATGAAGAGGAAAGAAAAAAGAAAAAAATGGTAGAAAAGCATAGTTGTATGATTTGGTAGAACCCAAATATATATATTTTGTAATACTGGTACATTTTTAGAAGAATTTTTTAATTAAAATTTCTACTTATGTTAAACCATCAAAGGATAACTAGATTATCTGAATTAATCAGTTTAAGGAGGCACTTCATTGGAGTTGAAAGGACTATAGTTAAACAAGTTGGGAGATATTTTTCAATTATTTGACAGGATAATTACTACCACTTAAAAGGCATTCAGAGGCAAGTCTGTGTATTCCTACCTGTCAGACTAGTCATAGAGGAACTTCATTGAAAAGCTATTGTTACTATTACATCAACGCCTTACTCTGAAATTGGTAATAAAGGGAAACACTTAAGCATTTACCCTGCCTTTCTGGGAGAAACTGTAGTTCATCTCTGTTGCTGAGGAGCAGCTGTTCTTTATAGAAGAATGTCAGCCTTCAGTGTAGAAGGAATGACAGAATTAGAAAAATCATAATTTGCAACCCCAATGAAATGACTCATTCAGAAAGAGTCATCAGTTGATGTTAAAATCATAAGGTGAAAGTTTGCTATTTGCATGATGGTGAAGCATCACCCCACAGCTTTACATGCCATTACAAAAGGGAAAACAAAGTTTTACAGTTGAGAGATCTGATTCTCACTTACCCAAGTGACCTAACTCATCATCAGTAATAAAAATGTCAACACGACATCATATGCCTCTTGATATAATGTATATTTTATACACCAAACCAAAACCAAACTCACTGCTGTCAACTCAGATCTGACTCATAGCGACACCTCCTTGGGTTTCCGAGGTGCTACCACTATGGAAGTAGATTGCCTAACCTTCTGAGGAGTGGCTGGTGGGTTTGAACTGCCAGCATTCTGGTTAGCAGTCAAATGCCTTAGGCACTACGCCACCAGAGCTCAAAATGTATTCTTCCCAAAAATGTTTAAGCTGACTCATATCAAGCACAGAGATTTAATTGCCAGGTTAAGCGATAGGGAATAGAGAACAAGTTAAACAACATTACGAGGCAACAAACAGAGAAATATAAAATGTGCAACATTCTGTAAAGTAAATAATTGGCCTGTTCTCTTTTTAAAAAAAGTTAATGTCATGATAA